TATCTGTATAATGATATTCTTAATAGAGTTTAGTTAACGAAAAATGAAATAAACATTATTATTGAATCGATACTTTAAGTATGGGTGTTATCCAGCGATTTATAATCATGATTCACAGTGAGTTATTGGCCGAGTTTTGATTCGAGTAGTTTGAGTAGATATATTATATAAATAAATAAATAATCAATTTTCAATTTTAATATCTATTAATTATCATTATAAAAGAATTTATAGTCCTATCTCTTATACCATTTCGCAGAAAACTAAATTCCAATAATGGCTTAAAAATGAATTTAAAAAATCATAATTACGATATTATTAACCATAAATGAATTTTATAATATTATTTAATTATTTTTAAGCCATGCCGAACCTTATTTTTACTACTAATCTACTTAATGGTATAAAGGATAACAAAAATAATCTAAGTAGACATAGAAAATACAAGTAAAAGCACAGGAACCAGGCATGAAAAGATCTATTCAAAATTAAACCAAATATACTAATCCAGTTTAAACTTTTTTGTATTAAAAATATAATTACAAATAAGTTATTTAAAAAATATATCATATACTAAAGGGGCGCCGGTGGCGCCCCATATACACTTGTAGTTAATATAAATCCCACGATATTATCGTACAATTTTTAGTTGATTCATGCAGCTTTTAAATATTTTCACACATTGACAACAGCTTTTTCCTCAAAGATAAAAGAATAGAATATAAAGAATAACGCCAAAGATTCTTGGTGGAATTCTATTTGCAGTATTTCAGTATGCCATGTATAATTAAATATAAATTACAAGTTATTTAGGATATATATATTAATCTTTTGGCAAAACCTGTTCGTTTTTCTTACCCTATTTTTTTATATATATAAGTATTTTCTTTCGCCATCTTCAAGAGTTTCTCTTTAAAAATCTATTTGATAAACCGACAATAATTGTTTAGGTAATTGCTTGTTTAAAATTACCTTATCAAAAAAAAAATAATGGAAGATCCTGAAACCAACGTCTCTGATTCAACAGCGGAGAATATTGAAGAGTTAGATCATGATACTTATACTAGTGAAAATCAAAAAAAAAGGGGCAGACCAAGAAATATACTTTGGAATAATCACTTTAATGAAATTAATAATAAGGGTGACGGTCATAGAGGTTGGAAATGTTTATATTGTAACGAACAAAATCCACGTGCATCTGATATAAATATGAATACGCATTTGGCGTTAAATTGTAAAAAAGTTCCACTTAATATTAAGCAAGAACTTTTACGAAAATTTCCTGTACCAAATCAAAAAAGAAAAACAGAAAGAGATATTATTACTGGTGTACAACCACGAATTGATAGTAAATTTCAAGCCATAAATAAAATAGATTCTGGACAAGAAGAATTGTGTCACAAATCATTAACTCGTCTTTTTGTATGTTGTGGAATTCCTTTTTGGATTGTCGAGCATCCATTTTTTTTAGATTTTTGTAAAAATTTATGTATTTCATACAAACCACCTGATCGAAAAACTTTAAGCAATGATTGGCTTAATTCTGAAACAGCACGGATTACAGTCGCTATGGAAAAAGAGCTTCAAAATGAAAATAATCTTACATTAGGTAATGTTTATAATTAATTAATATATAGCTATTTTGTAACTAGAATTACAATTTAATTTCAGAGGCTAATTTTAGTTAAGTGCGACTTCAGTTAACTAAAGTTGCAACTTAAATCGGGTATTAACTTTAGTTATAATAGCTATATTTTTTTTAGAAAACATGTATTTCTACACCCCTTGACCATGCACGTATTACACAAAGTGTATTATAATTATAGCAAAAATGGAGTGTCATATTACGTTACTCGATTTTTGAGCCAGATTATTTGAATCATATATCGTAGTATTGTCATAATTTTGTAATAATTTATAATTTGCAAGGGTGTAAAAATATCTGTTTTCTTTTTTATTATATTATATTTTAATAAATTAATATTTATTTATTATTAGCATTGGACGGATGGACAAGCAATCGTGGCTATTCTTATTTTGCTTTTATAATTATAACTGCTAATAAAAAACAATATGTGCACTCAATTAAAGATTTTTCTAGTGAATCGCATACTGCAATTTTTACAGCTGATGAAATTGAAAAGGTTTTAACAGATATTGGTGCTAATAAATTTGGAGCTGTAGTTTCTGATGCTGCTTCTGCTATGACGCTTGCTAAGCAATATATTTCAGCAAAATATCCAGCTATTTTACCAATTCGATGTATCGCACACCATGTTCAGTTAATTTGTAATGATATTGTTTGTAAAACTTTATTTGGAAAAAATATAT